AAATATGATAAACTGATATTATCTTATAATTTGACATTATTTTGCTAAAATAATATCAAATATTAGAGAATTTGCTAAAATAAATTATTATAAAATAATTTATTTGTATTATTAAAATAAATTATTAAATAATTTTTAATTTAAATTTAATATTTATAACTATTTTTAATAAGTATTTATAAATTTATTTCTGATTTATTTTAAGTCCAATGTATAATAAAATATTATTTTCAATTTATTTTAAATGTATAATTAAATATTAATTACATTAATAAATTATTTCTAATTATTTTAAATTTTATAATAATTTAATATATTATCTAATATACTATTTAAATTTATTTCTGATATATATAAAAATATATCTTTTTACAATAAATTATCAAAATATCACTAAAATGTTAACAAAAAAAATTGTCTTAAAAATAAAAGAATGCAAATTAAATTTTATCAATAAATCAGTTAATTTTTTAAATAATAAACTGATCTTTTACTTTTTTATAATAAAAAAAGGCAAATTTTTAGTAATTTAAGATAAAAATAAGTCAAATTTTCAATTTTTATTATTTTATTTATTATTTTTTTATTTTTTTAGAAGATTTTATAAGAAAATAGATCATATTTTTATTATTTTATTATTATTTATTTATTTATCTTTACATTTTTTATATAATATTAATATTATAATGATGAATATTTAAGACATTTCAAAGGATTTTAAAAGGAAAATGAATTATATTTTATTATATTCTTTATTATTTTATTTATTTATCTTTACTTTTTTTAAATAATAGTGATATTATGATAATGAATATTTAGGATAATTTCAAAAGATTTAGAGAAAAATATATCATATTTTTATTATTTTATTATTATTTTATATGATTTTTTCTATTCTTTTACTTATATTCTTTTAATAAAAAATTAATCAATAAGTTTAGATAATATTTTTATTATGTTTATTGTAAATTTTATATTAGATTTTATTATTAATAAAAATTTTAATATTTAATAAATTTTAATTAAATAAAATGTATTAATTTTATATATTTATTTGACTAAATTAATGTTAAATTGAGATCAATTTTAGACTATTTTTAGTTATTTAAATTCTAAATTAATTTTAAATTATTTATTTAATTAGAATTAATCAGCAATATTTTAGGCTGATTTGTAATTAAATTTAAATTCTGAATTGATATCAAATTGATGCTGAATTAAAACTAATTTTAAGCTGATTTATGGTTAAATTTTAAATTTAAATTAATGCTGAATTATTTTATCTGATTAAAATCAATCAGTAATAATTTAGATAATATTATAAGGTAATAATTTTGCAAATGTGACATAATATCAAATATTAAGAATATTAAACATATTAAACATATTATATATAAATTAGATATATTTAATATAATTAATATATTTAACATCTTATTTACATAGTTGTAATATTCGTATTTATGGATTGTTTACCTTGGGAAAGGAAAAAAATTTTTTTGAATATATATGCGATTCGCACGTCACACAGTCTCCCTATTCTTTGGCAAGAATTTTTCTGATATTGTACTGCGTATTTGCGTTAGCTAGGTGATCGATTTCACATAACGAAATTTTACAGACACTATTTGGGATTTTATTAAGAAACCTCTAGCACCAACCCACATAAAGAACATATATGTTAAATAAGATTTCTTGCAATAATATAAGTATCATAGATACAGTAATATGACAATCCGCATGAATTTATTAATTGATTTTTTTCATATAAAATAAATAGAAATAATACAAAGTATGGAAATGAAAAAATTATCATATATTGTTATGTAAATACCATTTTTCTATAACTCTATATCTAATGAATATATAAATCATTACTTTTACTTTTTCTTTCTATGTCCACCTAATAAAGAATGTCCATCACCACCACTGACATTACCTAATCTATTACCTTCATCGACATCATCTAATTTGGAACTCAAATCAATCCCTAGAACATATTGCTTGACACGATTTTTAATCCAGGATGGTTTTCTCTTAGCGTTATTATTATTAGTAGTAACAAACTTCTGTTTTTTGTAACTTTCAAATAACTGCGCTGGTACAGTAAAGAAAAAATCAATGTTACCTGTCTTTGCTAATTTGGCATAAACTTTTTTCAAACCAATCATTTTTATAGGATGATTTATGGCAGTAGTCATCTGGAAGAGCTTGTCGGGCGCAATGATAGAATCAATTGATGGGAAATTTTTATTATCTGGTCGAAAATAATTTCCATTAGTCATCGTTTCAATTGTAGAAAATGTATATATCTTATCTCGCCTATTAATCGTTTGATCATATCTTGCAGAGTCATCTAAAGAACGAATCTTGAATTTTCCCACATTTTTCAATATCGTGTGAGCTATCTCCTCAAAAATACTACTCAATACTGAATTACTAATGCTGTTTGACAGGCTTACATTCAACTCTATACGCATTTTATTCATGATGCTCTTTTCAAAATTCTTAATCACTATTTCACTCACATACACAGACGCAAATTTTATAATTTTTTGTGTATTGGGTTCCTCTTCAACGTATTCAACGTCATCATCATCTTCTTCAAGACCATCATCTCCTTCAAGATCGTAATCATTGCTCTCCTCGATCGGGGGATTCGTCATAATGTGAATAAGCTTATGGCTTATATCTTGTTTGGCTTCAGATTTGCTAATAGAACCCATAAGTATACTCTCATCACATGCGTCAATTGCTTCTTAGAGCTTATTTTGCTGAGTTCTTTCATTAGCTTTTTCCAAGACGAATCGAGGAATTCCTTCCTATTTATAAAATAAATCATCAACAATTTTTTTATCGACTTTGTTTTTATAAATCTTTTCCCAGCATGTATCAATCTCTCTTTTGTCCCACGTCGACATATACCGTGTTTTTGTTAAAGGATGCTTATCAAATTCTACATAATAATTTTTCTTGGGAGAACAGACAAGAATTGTCTTAGCATCAACGTCATGAGGTTCTTTACCGTCTACGATATACCAGACGTCTTGTTTATTTAGAAGATCATAAAAACTGAATAGAGTTTCACCAACAACAGCAGTTCGATTGCTGAATAAAATCGGAAACTTATTAACTTTGTCGTATATAACTGTTGCGTTTTTTCGCATGAGCTCATAAAGTATATAGTAACCAAAAAACGTTTTTCCTATCCCTGGATTTCTAGTGATAATCAATCTTCTCGTATTATTGCTAAAAACAACCTTGAACAGGTCACGATAATATTGACGAATAAATAAGACTGAAGCTTCGTCAGTTCTCCCAAAAAAATGGATATTATCAGGCAATTTGAGGGAGTTATCCTTTTCACCAATTGTAGTAGTTCTTAAAGCCTTCCAAAAGTTCAATAGGTCTCCATCATCAACTTTCATTCGCTTATTGGGAAATTCTGTATAATAAGAACAAATAAATGAGGCACAATTTAACAAATGCGACGACAATGAAAAAATTTTACAGTTCAGAACATAAGTTTGATACAACAAAGACGAGATCGACTCTCTTACCAGCACTGGATTGATCTGCGATAAAGCGAATGTGTTTTTTGGGGCGGGTTTGACGATAAGAAGCAGGAAAGAAAAGCACAAGATTAAGTAAGTATTCGGTATTGTTGGCGAATTCAAACACATTTTCTATTTTGAGACTTACCGGAAGTTAACAAATTTCTCAGGTATGTAAGCTTAACTTTATCATTTTTGCTTTTAATAAGCGCTTTTTCCACACCAGGTAATTTGTCAATATTGTTGAAATACGTAAATAAATCGGCTACTTCTTTCTCGGTGAGTTTCTCAACATCATTAATGTCAGAAAGGCGATTAACCTCGTCATAGATATCAATAGTAATCATACTTATTATTTATGGTTTTTTGCGTAAAAAAAAGTTTCACAGGTTTTTTGAAAAAAGAAATGACTTGTTGATACTGTATATATAAGAAATCGATGTCGCACAGATTGATCTGACTCATCAGTTGCAACTGGCTAGTTAATCATGATTGTTATTATTTTTAACAATTTATAGTTAGAAAGAAACAAAAGAAACACAAAATTTTAAAAAATTGTAATGAAATTAATTACTATGATTTGTGGCCAGATGCATCATATCTCAGGTGAAGTACCTTGATGCGAGTGAAAATATCCCCAATTTTTATATATATATGTAATTTTTTATACAGTATATATTTAATTATTATTATTATTATTATTTATATGTATAATCACGATCACCGTTTTCCCCCATTTTAAATTTCGCGATTATACATTTACTAGAATATTTTGAAAGATATACTTTAGTGAGAGAGTTGGGTTTTTTTATTTTTATTTTTTTTAAAAAAAAAAAAATTGCGGTTGGATGTGGAGGATGAGCTGGTTGGAAGAGGATGTGAATGTGAAGATAAAGGTAGATGTGGATGGTAACAACTTTAAAAAATAATCGACATTTGCGACTATATTAAAATTTGGTCATGACTTCTCTAAAAGAATGTGATAAAAAAAAAAAAAAAGAAAGTTGATGAGAGAAACTGATGGGACTTTGATACTTTTATTTATTTATATATAAAAAAAAAAAAAAAAAATAATCAAAAAATTTTCCCACTCCTTTTTTTTTAGAAGTTGACATCATAAAAAAATTCGATTTTTTTTTTTTAATCAATCTAAATCTGTTGATCAAAACTCATGATTTCATGAACAAAATTTTGAAAAAAAAATCATGTTACATGATTATTTACTATATTATAACCATCCTCTAATATAATTGCCTCTTCTTCCTATACCAGTATTAACACCATCATTACCCTGCTTTCTTTCAACAAATGATACACTAGTGCAATCTAAATCTTTCAAAGCTTCTTGATATGTTGGAAAAGGAAGATTTAAGAAAAATGAAGGATTTGATCCTCTATCAATAACTTCAATAACCCTATCATTTTCATTATTCGCAGAAATTTCTAACCGGAAATGAAAATTTTTGGGAGATAATGAGTGTAATGATGATGAATCAGGCATGCAATTATGCGATGAAGAAGAATAAACAGGTAGAGGTGGCGAAAAAGATAAATCTTCATCCATTAAAGTTGCAAATGAAAGATTATTTAAAGAACGATTAACGTTGACAAAGGATATTAAACAATATGATAAGTTGTAATCACAACGTAAATCCTCTACAATGTTAACTATCAAGAATTCCTAATACAATGTGTATAAAATTTTTTAGATCAAAAAGATTTTTTTTTGATGTATTTTAATTAAAATTATAAAAAAATTTTACTGTATAGTTGGAGACAGAAAAGGTAGGTTTACCATTGCGTTCCTTGATTATTTTTTAATACATGTGATGAAAGTAATCATGACTATTATTTTTTGTAACAAATAAATAAATTTCACATTGCATCTAAATATATGAAAAGAAACATCAATTTTTTTTAATCATCATCATTTTTCCATTTAACATTTATTTCCATCAAAATTGATACATACTTTTCTTTTATAATTAATACAAACAATACAATACCAAAGAATACAACCAGTCGCATATGACTTTATAATATAATTATATTATAAAGTTACATGCGATTTAGCCTAGATTATGAAGGCAACTTCATAGTCTACTAGTAGCTTCATAATATAATGGTAACTTCATAGTCTACTGATGATTTCATAATATAATAATAACTTTATAATATAATGATAGCTTCATAGTCTGTCAGTAACTTTATAATATAATAGTAACTTCATAATATAATGGTAATATCATAATCTAATTTCATGATCTAGTGGTAACTTCATAACCTACTATTCATACTCTAATAATGACTTTATAACCTACATATGGGTAGCTCCTTTATGTTTATAGCATTATTTCATTTGTTTCCTATATAATATAGTGGTAACTTTATAGTCTAATGGTGACTGGTAATATTTTAATTTAATGGTGATGTTATGATCTAATAGTGACTGCTTTCTTCTTATTTCTAATCCGTTTATATAATAAACTCTATATTGTTAGTTCTGGCTTTCCAGTCTTTTTTGAATATCTGGTTCTATAATAAGAGTGTCAGCCCTTTATGCTAGTTTAGATACTAGTTCTTTATTAAGAATTCGTACCTATTTGGTTGTCTTTCTAGATGCTGAAATAGTATAAAAAAAAGGTGATAGGTAGTACAGTAAATCTGTGATTAATTTTAGCTGACACTATATCATAATTTCAGCTGATCTTTTAGGCATGTGATTTGAAGATCTAGCTCAGCGTCATAATGATGACTTGATAGTGTTGTAGTAGTGTCATTTTATCAAGAACCTGCCCTAATGCCTTTGGAGTCTACCTGTTCTGAAGCATCTTAGCTAACTTCTTCTAGTGATAATATGTTTTTGAATAGCACTTATTTACATGCAAATTATAAAACCTATATTTGGCTATTTTTTTGAGTGTTCTAGGGCAGAAATTTTACTAGATCACTTCCTAAGGCAAATTTTATTATAGGAGAAAGTATTCTTTTCTCGATTTAACTTATTTTTGTATTATCTTTCCTAGGTTTCCTAAATGTCTTAATAAAATAAAGTTCTAAGAATAAATCAAATTTTTTTATGTATGGGATATGTATTATATATATATATGATATGTATATAGAATATACCGATATGCCTATAGATAAAAAATAAAAATAAAAAGTAAAGAAGTCTGAAATTTTTTAGACCACCTAGGTGTCCTAGAGCAGATTGTCTGAAAAATATTCCTTCCATTCTAAAAATAGAAATTTGCTATTTTTCTCCTATCTTTGGAAGTCAAAAATTTTCTAAGGCAAATTTTTCTAAGGTATTTAACTTTTTCCTATGGTAATATATTTTCAAATAATACTTATCTACATTGTTAGCGTTGAAAATTTGCCCTAGAAAAATGATTTACAAAGTCATTAGATTTAATTTTATGTAGATCATATTAAGGAAGA